ACGGCCTGCTTGCTTCAGGTTACGGCTTTATTAAGGACCGGCCTTTTCCTGTTTTCTCCCCATATTATTCCACGTCTATATATGGAATTTTCTTCCACTTTCATTTTGTTTTAATTTATATTTACAGGTTTATAGCACTTTCTAATCTTCACCCCTCCCTCTTGCTGCGGCGTTCCTTTTCCCGAAGCGCCTGGAAATTTATTTTTCTTGCCTCACCCTTTTATCTCTTGCTTTCTTACCTTCCCACCTCACGTTCTGAGCCTAAAACTCCGTAAATCATATTATTAGGCAAAGTGTGTGTGTGGAGGGGAATCCAAAACGAAATTCAAAAGCGCCTTTAACTTAGGATCGCGGCCTGCGTTCTGGAGTAGCCTGGCTCAAGAGCTGCGCGGCTGTACTGGAGCCTAGAGACGTAAAATTTCCAGAAATTTTTGAAGCCATATAAAACGGCTTTCTGGGGGGAAAAACAACGGGGGGGGGGCGGGGAACCTGTTCCTCCCCAATTTTTACGTCCCCCCCCATCTCCATCTCTAGATAAGGCGCAGCCCCAGCTAGAGATGTTTAATTTGTGGAAATGTTGAAGACATATGAAACGGCTTGGGGGGGGAGGGGGGGTGATGTCCCCCCCTATTTTCCAAAAATCCGTGTGTGTGTGTGTGTGGTGTCTCCCCCGTTTTTCCGATTTTTTCCAGGCATTCCCGTCTCTACTCAGGGTTCCTCCCGAGCGAAGTGGCCTGCAGGGCCTTCCAAAAAAAAAAGACCCAGTGCTTTCTTTATTTTTTCCTCTTTTTTTTCTTTCCCTCTCTCCCTCCCTCCCCGTTGCCGCGGGCAGCCCGGGAGGAAATGGAGCGTGGCCTCTACCTGTGTTTAGGAAACACAACAGGAAAGGGGCTGGACGGGGCGCGCAGCATTCCGCTGCCTGGAAAAAAAAAAGTGGGGGAACGATACGGCGGCGGGATCTCCTCAAGCGACGCTATGTACGGCTCTAATTGAGCGTGAACGAGTTAATTGCGTCCCCTAATGAGGGCTGGGAAGGGATCCAGCGGCCCCCGTGCCTGCGCCTTGGAGAGCTGGGCTCGAAAACCCGGGCAACGGGGCGTTAGAAGCGCAGAGCTCACGAAATAAATGTGATTAATTGGAGCAAGTTGGACGGCGCGATCGGCGTTGACAAGCCCCCCCCCCTTTCCAGTCCCCGGCGGCCCTCGCCGAGTCTTTGCACACACGAGAAAAGAAGGCTTCGCCCCTACGAAGCAGGAGGATCCCCGGGATCCAGAAGGCTTCGCACCAGCTATCAGTGACGGCCCTCGCGATCTGCGAGGGATTCGGCCTGGATTTGCACAGGGTCACAAACTCACACACAGACACACACACACACACAAAAAAAACACGCACAGGGGAAAGAACAGGGACCTCGAGGCTGTCCGAGGCATCTCCGGTGGACGTTGCTGATGCGCCCAGACGGAAGTGCGCTTTAACGAAAATCCGCATTCAATCCCCTGAACCGCCTGCGCCAAAGCCTAAGGTCCGAGGCACGCTTTCAACGGGATCCGTCGGGGCGGGAGGGCGCGGCGGCGCAAAGAGGACCCGCGACATCTCAGGAGGGGCGCCGCTGCTCCGGGACCCCCCGCGCCCCTTTCCGCGGGCCCCGCTGCCCAAGCCAGAGAGCTTCCTCCGAGGTCGTCGAGGCCCACGGCTGTCCCCTGGATGTGTGTCCTCCCACCTCCGGGATAGAAGAGTCGAGGGTCTTTTCTTCACGTGACTCTTGCTAGGCCTCCAGCTTTCTCCCCGTGCTGTCTGGTTGGTTGTGTGAACGACCCCCCCTCGGTCCGGCCTCCTCGCGGGTCCGACATCCCCCTTTGCTTTCTAAGACGGCGGCGCGATCCTAAACTTTTGGACTTGAGAGTCAAGAGAGTTGAGGATCCTGCTGGATAGGTCCGACCCACCCACCTATCCCACAACCCCCGGAACCAGGATAGAAACCATATGATTGGGAAACAATTCGCGTGTTTGTGTGTGCGCGCCCGCGCAGTGGGTGTTAGGACTCATAGGCGCCTGCGGAATTACGGTCTGGCGCGGTGGATTGGGGCTCCTCGCTTTGCAAACGGGATCCAGCCCCCGGACCCAAAAGGAAAAACTCCATGGAAATACCGGGCAGACACGTGTATACACTCCAGAAGGAAATCCCTCGGATTTTCCATTGATTTTTACTCTCGAGTAAGCATGCATAGGATTGCAGCCTCAGCTTCCCTACTCAGCTGTTTCGCACACACACACACACACAGTGTGAAGTGGCTTCTGCCTGCGAACTGGGGTCAGTGAGCTTAACGGGATCCAGTTTCTTAGGAAAGTTACCAGGGGTGTTCAAACGACACACAGCTGGAAGGAATACTGTGGACTTTCAATTTTGCAAGGTCTGCCGACCACGAAGATGCCCTTTAGGCTGCGTGCTGCTGACCCCTCGCTCGCTCCCTCCCACGACGTGAAAGGAGAAAAAAAAACTCTTGAAATACCAATCCGGTGAATTTTTCAAATAATCATCACTCTCACGACGGAGACGCCAGGGAATTGACTCGAAATGGCAGGCCTCACAATCGAGCGCCCTGTATAAATCTATAACCAACAAGTGGCATATGTAATTCATATACCCGTTCGGAGATAGAATACGGAATTACTTTCGCGGGAAAAAAAAATCACGTTTACTTTCTCACCCACATTGGCACCTATACAGACGTGTACGTATATGAAGCATAGGCAGGAGAACAAGGAGAGAACTGTGAGTCAATTAATTTACAACGATTAAGAAATAAACCCGTTCCTTCGAAGTCCCTGGCTTGATTTCACCGTATCGAATGCAAAACCCGTGAATAATTCGGACTGACGGAATCGAGTTAACGGGCTGTGGGAACGAATCGAAGAGTAAACCGAAGAGCTAGTTAAGAGCACACCGAGTTAGGCCTGGCCGCCCCAAGGTGGCTGTTTACTCTCACTCCCTTTTCAGCCAAGCGCCAGACACCACGTCTCTCTTCTCGCCTGATCTGCTTTCTAAAGACGTGGAGGGGGACCTGAATTCGAACCCACGCCCCCCAAAAGGCGCCGCTTCCCTTTCAATCCGGGGAAGATCGCAAGCGCTTAGATCCGACCTGGGGGCCAAGTTTTGATCCGCTCGGGCCCACCCCGCACCCAGGTGGGATTCGGACCCACAAAGGCAGCCTTACACGAGAGAAAGGCCGGGAGAAACAGGCCAGCCCCCCCCCCCTTGGAACAGAAGGCCTCGCCCCACGGCCGCCGCGGATCTGACACATGGGGTCCGGTGTTTGTTCCAGCCCAGCGTGAGCGCCGGTGGCTCTCGCCGGACTTTTTGGGAACAAGCCCCCCAAGCCTCCGCCGGGGCAGGGGAGCCAGGCGGCGAGTTCAAGGCACCCGGGGGCCCAGCAAACGGCCCCGAGGGCGATCCCTTAAAACACGGCGGGTAAACAGCACCGGGGAGAACTTGCCTGGGCGGCGTTGCAAGCCTGAGCGCCCTTCTCGGGGAAGCAAGTCTGGATGGCCTCCACATTTTCCGGCAAACATGGACGGGGCTCGTAGCGCCGGTTTACCAACGGCCCTACATTCGTACGATTTCGGTTTCAATGAGAAGGCGGGAGGAGGGCTGGTCAGCAAACGAAAACAAGCGTCCCCCCTCCCCAGATGCTCCCTCGATCCCCAGCCCGGCTTATAAACACGACCCGAAACACACCCCGAACTTAAAACGCCTTTCAGAAGAACTCGGTCCCCGGGATTTCGGCCCAAGCGGGCCTCCTCCTATTGATGGTGTGGAAGGAGACCCAAGCAACCCACAGCTAAAGTTCATGCAGCAGGTACAATCCAGATTCACCCCTGGAGGAAGGGCTCCTTCCCGCACCCCCTGTCCGCCGCCCCATCTCCCGACCCCCGGCCTTCAGCGGGGCACAAATCATATTTAGCCCCGGCGGGACAAGTCGGGTTCGAATCCCGGTTCGGAAAGAAGTGTTGGAGACACCGACAGACGGAGTTTCTCCGCGTTTCGGGGCTCTCCGAGTGAATCTACCGGGAACACGTTCCCCCTGTTGTGTCTTAAGATCAACTTCACTGTTGTCCCTTCCAGGTCCCCCCCCTCCCCCACAGCCTTTGAAAGCACTTTTAAGCCCAACTGAGCGCCGTCCCCAGCCTCTTAAGGGCGCATCGCATTTAAGATGGGAATGGGGACTGACCGGAGGAAATTCCTGTTATAGCTTTGGGGGGGGGGACACAGTTCTGGTCCCTTTCCTCCAGCGCCGGTCCCGTTGCTTTCAATAGGATTCGTTGCCATTCTGTCTAGGACGGCAGCCCGGGAGACCGAGGTTCTCCCGGGAACTTTCTCGCCGAGTTGCCCGCAGGCTTTGAGCCTCAGAGGAGCAAAACTGAGAAGCCAGCTCCACTCCTCTGGCGGCGGGAAGGGGGCTTTCCTCCCCCAGGAAGGAGGATCGGAGCCTTGGGACCCGGTGCAGAAGGCGTGCCAAGAGCTGGAAAGGAAGGCCGGCCCTGCTAAGGGGATACACGCCTCCTTGCTCCAGGAGTGTGTACCAGGAATACAAAAGGCAACCAGTAACAACAAGAGCCTCGTGGCACAGTGGTTAAAACGCTGTACTGCAGCTGAAACTGTGCTCACGACCTGGGGTTCAAATCCCAGGTAGCCAGCTCAAGGTTGACTCAGCCTAGGCCGGAGCCGAAGGAGAAGGAGAAGGCGGCGGCAGCGCCTCCTCCGCCTCCTCCCAGGGAGATGGGAGCATCCTGCGCACCGGGAAGCAGCCCGGCGGCGTCCAGCGGGCTCTGCAAGGCAACGCCGTTGGACCCCGGGGAGAGGCAGGCAAAGGAAGGCAAGGGGCGCCCGGCCCAGGGAGAGGGTGGGGGGGCGAGGGGGGTTCTCTCTCTCTCTCCCACACACACACACACACATTGTCTCTTTCCAGGTCTACTTAAGAGGAATAGATGGATGGCTTTACCTAACCGCGCTCTCTGCTCCCTCGACGGCTGCGGCGGCTGGATCGGGCTCCTCCTCGGGTCTTCCAGGGGGAAACCCCGTCGGGCAGGCTGG